TTCATAAATTAAGTCAGACCCTGATTCACCTAATCTGCAAATATCAAAATGTTTTTGCATATGTACTCACTTGTAAATAAGTGCAAAGACTCATGGGACTTCACAAACAAGTTTTCATCAAAAAGCTTCAAATGCACAGTAACTATTGCTGAACTGACTCTGAAAGTGAACGTTTTCCCACTGTTTGTTTTGTGCAAAATGTTTTACAACAAACTGAGCTGTCATTGACTTCTGACTAATGGCACAATAATGATAGGTATTTAGTATAACAGCGATTACACAAATCATCACCTTAACGCCACTGGATTTACGAGCGCTTGTGCATGTACCAACAACGGTTGAGTTGAGGTGAGTACCATATGTTTTTCTGATCAAGCATAAGAGTCATATAAGGCAGTATCAGTAACTGATCATTTATAATTTCATGAAGACTATAGCAGCTGAAGTCATTACAGTAGCCTATTTATTCCACACTTTATGACCACTACGTAGTCCTTAAAGGGATACTTCACCCGTTGAAACATGAATCTGTATTGACATTGGGTGATATATGTAGTAGAAATGTGAAATAAATTTTGAAGTTGGTGCCTTCTTGGCCGTGAAAAGGCAGAAAGTGTCTTTTTGGCTCATGTGGATGAAAGACACCAAATCCCAGAATGCACAGCACCGCAGGCCACTCCCACTAGGTCCGAATCAGAATCAGAAATACTTTATTAATCCCAGAGGGAAATTAGATCATTACAGTTTCTCCAAAATATACAATATAGCAGTAGAAATATAGTAATAAAAACATTTACAGACATATTTACTTCAACACATACGGTCATTTCCTCAACTGATTCAGAGATTTCTTCCAGAAGGAATTGGTATCTTGGAAATTCCTGGCAGAAAACAGACTCTATGTCTGTGTCCATAGGCAAACAGCAAGAGCACTGACACTACCAGTCAGCCCCAGCTAGAGATGGCCCGGGCGGCCAGCAATATAGCAATATAGCTACTAGACGGTTGCTGGCCGGTCCCGGCAGCCGCAGCAGACAAAAGACAAGACCTGCCTGTCTGCAGCAGCCGTCCTCACCATTATCAGCTTTCTCCATAGAGCCTGTTAGCATAGCTACCAAGCAATATGGCGGACGTTAAGTTTCGATTCTGGGAGTGAGTTCCCACCCACTGATCTGTGATTGGTCTGTAGCTTCAGTGGTCAAAAATATGAGGAACTAGCGTTGTAGTTTCACCCGGCTAAACAGAACAGCTTCCACTGATGCAAAAATCGTCATTTTGCGTCACTGGAAGCTCCTTTTCAGACTCAGAAATACAAACATTTCTCATCTCAGGGGAAAATGAGGAAGAGATGCACGACCATTCAAAAATGCTACCAGGTTTCTAATGATACAAAGCTTAATGCAAATGGGTGAAGTATCCCTTTAAGTGTGACAAGAGCTGTGACATTGTGTACAGGTGTGGGTTGTGGGAGAATCTGAAATTTACAAAGGAAACACAGAGATTATCAGGACTGATCAGTATAATTGATATTTGTTCCATGTTAAGTTGAGAGCAGTTTTTTTTAATTACATCAACTAGCTTAGCATCCTAGTTTGCATTACGTGAACAGCATGTATTGAGTTATTGTTTTCCTGAGTTAAAGGCTGAGATTCCATTAAACCCAGACTCACATAGCAAACAACATCTGGTAAACTTATGTTTGTTGTGAATTTGAGTCTTGAAACGACTACTCGAGAGTTAATTTGTAACTATGTGTTAGAAAGAATTTTTAAAGCATGCTTTAATTGTTCTCAATCATTTGGGGGCAGTTTTTTCAGATTGCTTAGTGTTAGTCATACCTTCCAGTAAGATTTTCCTGGATTGAATATTTAAGTTGCGAGTACAGTGCATGTGTGCACACAGTAGCGTTTCATAGTGATGTCTAGCTCAAGTAAAAAACATCCTAGATAACAGAAAACGAAAAGTCATGGCATAACTTAGCCAGGGGATCCTTAACCAGTTAAATGTCTTACTGAAGATGTTTGAAATTCTGTTATCCACATTATATACGTGTGTGTGTGTGTGTGTGTGTGTGTGTGTGTGTGTGTGTGTGTGTGTGTGTGTGTGTGTGGTTCATATTTCAAAAAAATGGGAGGGTGTGCAGAATCTATGCTTTTGTCTTTAGTCCAGAATAAAGATATAAAGAGGAGGAAGATTAAATGCATCCAGTAGGTGACCTAAGATAGTGGTTATTAAATATTCAAAATGAAATATGAGGCACCGGTTGCCTAGTGGTTGGTGCGCACACCCCATTTCGGGAGGCTGTGGTCCACCAAGCAGGCGGGCCCGGGTTAAAATCCGACCCGTGACTCCTTTCCCGCATGTCATTCCCTCTCTCTCTCTGTCCCTGATTTCTGACTCTATCCACTGTCCTGTCTATAAAATAAAGGAACGATAAGCCAAAAAATAAACCTTAAAAAAAATGAAATGTGATATAATGACGCTTCTGTCATTACATCCAATTAGCATTAAATCCAATGAAATATTGACAGATTATAATAGGGTGAATCTAGTTCCCAAAACAAAGCACACATTTTGAAAGTTAAAATCTCTGTCAGGTTGCAAGCAAAGTGTTGCTAATGTTACAACTGTACGAATACTGTGGGCAAGTCAAAAGTCACTTTTTAAACTAATAATGTTTATCATGCTCATTTTAAATCTTCAGTCTGCTTAATACTAAGAAGCTGCGATGCCAAATAAATGTTGTGAGATCATACTCCCATCCTTACACAGTGACCCCCCACACTGTTCTTACTGCATGAGCCTCTTCCTTTTAGATCTGCAAGGTCAGCTCTGCATGTCAGTCTGACTGAGAGAGATGAATATCTGCTCACTCACGCCTTTGCTGTGCCCCGATTCCACAGCGGAGGAGCAAAAGGTTTACACATTCATAAACATTATGCTATGTGCATGTCGTGCGTCATGGAAGGAGCCCTCCCCCGTGCTTTATGTATATGAATGAATGGCTTCACACAGGGAGCAGCTCCTCCCCAGGAAATCCATGACTGTACTTTCCAGAAATAGAGTATGACTTGCTTAAAGTGGAACTAATGCATCAGCAGCGGGTTTCCAGCAGGGCTAAATGGGATGGAGGCCGGGGTGTACCTTCTTGCTTGTAGCTGAACCTGTTGTGAAAGTGCGTGTTTTGCAAGCAGTTCAGCAAACAGGCGCACTGGATTTCCCACGCCAGGCTGTACAAATTCTTATATGCATGCACCTCTGCACACACACAAATGCACCCAGACACGCATAGAGGGAGTGTAGGCGGTGTGACGCAGGCATAATGAGTCACTCCTCTGAGACAAAGAATGAGTTCCAACACACACCGCTGACTATTATGTCTCCGACAAGTTAGCTGGACAGGAGAAATGATCAGAGGCGAGAACACTTATATGTCTTCAAATGACCCCAAATAATATCTTGACACAAACTTCTTTAAATGACCAAAAAAGGTCAGACATTTTTTATTTTATTTTGCCTAATGATTTTACGTTTGGTTTTGTCTTCAACGCACAAATATGATAATGATGTGTAAGGCTGTAACTAGCAACACAAACCTGTCATCAAAGATAAGCGTGCCGCCATAATGCCAGGCGTTTCCACAGAGAAGGGTGAAAGAGGAAGAAACAGCGGAAAAACAGTTAACCTTTTTTAATGTTCTAAGTATATTTTAAGTAAATTATGCATAAACCACCACCTTAGCATGCTAATAACTTTGCAACCTAACATTTTCTATTTTATTTTCTACACTTTTAAGATACAATGTGTGTTTAAAGGCCAGTTAACTGAAGTTTTTATGTCACAAAATATCACATGTAGTTAAAAAAAAAAAGTCTAGAATGAATTTACAGATCGATGTTAACAACACTTATTAACCAGGCCCTATGATCAAGAGGAGACTAACTCCTGATGTAATACAATCCTTGTCCACAAGGGGGCATACAATCTGTCCCATACCTGTGCTTTGGCAGCTGCCATTTACTTTCCAAACTGTTGCCCAATCCTGTTTGTCCCTTCAGTGGATACAAAGGCAAACGTGATAGTATGTTGCAGCACTTCCCAAGGATAAAGAGGCCTTATTCAAATAGAGATAAGGCAGCAGCCTTGCCTGATAAACCCATGGTGAAATACGCATTTCTCCCTCCACATTCACAGACCAAACACAAAGCTGTAAAGTTACACAATTGTGAGCGTTGCCAAGGCTCAGTTATAGGGCTTTCCATTTGTGCAATTAGTCCAGAATAAGGCATTAACACTGGGTGATGTTGGACAATAATTGCCTCTCAAACTGCTTGCAGACTTTGTTAGCAAAACTCCACAGGAGATTTGGATTGCTCACTCCCTCTGTCAAACACACGCGTGCGCGCACACACACTCTCGCCCCAGATGGGAGACAGATGTTTTATACACAAGGTCAAGGAGTCCGCGCAGTTATTGTCTGCTGCACCGTTTCTTAGTATTCTCCATGTTGTTCATATCCCCACATCCACATAAATCCAGGAAATTTCCTCTGGAATGGAAAACATGTCCTACTCACACGGATCTTTTTTTTCCCCCTCTTTTTTACTCTCCCTCTTATTTGTTTCTCTCTCTCTTACACACACAGACTTTACTTCCCCTTCTTGTGTAATGGTAGTTCAACACATCAACATGTATAGGACAAAACAAAAGGCACTCCTTAAGAAACAAGTGAATCTATTATATTGCCCCGATTACTCTGTGTTTTTGTCTGTCTTTCTGGATGTTTCTGGGTCTGTTAGTTCTCTGGCAGATTGCTCGTGACAACTATTGACACACAAAGTAACAAAGAGAAGATGAAGCATAAGGAGAGGAGGAGAAGTTTCTAATCTTATTATCCCTGCCTAAACTAATCCATTTGAGCAACACCTCCAAGTAATCCATACCCATTTACACATGTTGAACACCTCATATCAGACACACAGGCCCATTTCATTTAAAAGCAGTTATTGAAGGTGATCAATGAAGATTAAACAACAGTAAAAAAAAAGATGACAGACATACAGGATACTTTGCTGCTGGGCTCAGAGGGAATAAGGAAAACTATCCTGCATGGAGGCACCGGAGACATCCCAAAACTCATCACTGGGGCAAAGGTAAAGAGGACCATCAATACATGTATAACATCATAAGAGCTGTAAATTAAATCAGTTTTTGCTGTATTTTTAATTAAACTAACTTCGTTGTGATCTATGATGGACTTATCAGTGAAAAAAAAAACTTTGACTTTACATCCCACTTTCAGTAAAAAATAAATCTAATGAAAGAATATGGATAATTATAGCAGCTTTGAATGGTGAATCTTTTAGGCCAGTTCAAATTGATTAATAGAGTTCCCTCGCACAGTATTTTTTAAAGTTATGAATCTTATAGGAGAATTCTATAAATATATTAGTATATGGTTATTAATTATAGCCTCCTGTGCGCAGCATCACATGACCTGCAGAGACAAGGAAGAGCAACGTTTAAATCTAATATACAACCATACCCTCTGTCTAAAAAACATGTCATTGACTAAATTGTAAACTTTGCAGGGTTTTTGTCATACATTAGATCAAATAAAAGCAAAATGTTGTATCTCCTTGAGTATCCCTAGACTTAATGGAGCAATAAGTAGCAGCTTATTGAAAGCCTGTTGTAAAGCATGACTAAAACATTTCATATGAAGGGCTTTTGTTAAATATGCATGGCTTCCTTACTGAAGATCTATGGATTTCATTTTGGGGTTGGTTGTGCCAATCTGAAACGGTTTCAGTTTAAAACAGGGTTTATCTGTTGCTGCAATTCCTATAAGTATCCAGTAGAGGCTGATAAAGGACATCATTCATTCAGGTGTGGTGAGTAACCAAAATAATTATTATCTATTGTTGAGTGAGATTAGTTTTCAAGACAGAACGCCCCTACTACTTTGTGTGATCAACTTTTTTTATAATTCAGAATCAGGACCAAGTTTTTGGTAAATTTCCCAATGAAAGGAATTTGGCATTTTTTGGTGCAAAATCAGAGCAGCTGTGTAATAAAAAAGTAGAAAGCTTGTAGAAAGCTTGTAAACATGATTACGTAAAGTGTCATTTAACATGAAAATAAAACAAACTATGAAAACAATTAAAATAAGGAAAAAAATGATTATTATACGTACTTAATATGCAAAATAATTTAATGTATTTTATTTGTAAAGGGACCATATTCAAATTAAACATAGCCTACATGTTACCATTTGATGCATTGTGCCAGAGGTAACTTAAAGCTAGTTTTCATCTGCAGTCCTTTGGCAGATAAGAACATAAGTGTATCTAACAGCTGCACAGTTGTGCAGGAACATGGCAGATGATGGTTGAGTACATAAAGCTTGCAGTGTAGAAGGTAGACACAGTGTGCAGTGTGAACAGACAATAATCAAGTCCTTCATGCGTTCATGCTAAAATGACTCTTGAATTAAGAAAATAGCTTCAAATTCAAGGAGAGTGCACACTTTGAATATCTAACTGGTACAGAGGTTTCCTTAATGCATCAAGTGATGGGTTGCCAAAGGCATTTGGTGTTATCATGTTTCCATTTATCACGCCTAGCTTGTGCTGGAGGTGGTTTTTATAGGAGATCCTCTAGAAAGAGCAGATTTTTTTCCCAAGGTGTTCACACTTCTCTGAATTGTTCGACTTTCCTCTGACGTTGCGCAAGACAGCCTTGGCATGTCTGTCCTCCATCCTGTTTGTGTGTGTGTTTCTGTGTGTGTGTGTGCGTGTGTGTGTGTGTGTGTGTGTGTGTGTGTGTGTGTGTGTGTGTGTGTGTGTGTGTGTGTGTGTGCGAAGGTCTGCACTGTTGAATAACTGCACAGTGTGAAGTTCATGACATAACGTTTTAATTGAGACTGTTGTGTGTTTAGTCCCGTTAAAAAAGTCAGTTTTGACTTGACACCAACTTTTTTCTCATGCAAAAAGACTTTATGTCCTCAATGATCATCTGAATTTCACCATCCATGCATGTGGACTTTCTAGTTCCTATAATTAAGCTGAGTTTGAGCTAAGTTTAAAAGCTCACAATGGTCCTATTCTTAACGAGCACACTTCATGTTATTCCTCAACATAGTTCTTTCCCCCCCCAGGTAACGTTCCACTTCCGCACCCAGTTGTGTGACGATGATCGCACAGTGATAGATGACAGCAAAGTGGCGGGGACACCCATGGAGATTGTGATCGGCAACATGTTCAAACTGGACGTCTGGGAGACTCTGCTGGCCTCTATGAGGATCGGGGAAGTGGCTGAATTCTGGTGCGACACCATTGTGGGTGAATTTAGTTTGCAGTAGTTTCAGCTGCTTTGTGTTTTTATTTGTTGTTGTGTTACCTAGGTTTCTTATTTGTTTGTTTTTAAGCGCATTTTATTAAAGTCTGTCAGTAAAAAGCTCTACTCTACACAGAGTGACATCACGCTGCAGGTGTGGATGTGATAGGCTGCTTTCAATTTTAAGTAACTAAACAGCAGAACAGGACAAATGTTTTTGTGCTCCAGTTTTAAATATGAAGCACAATAAGCCCACGCTTCTCCTTGAGACCTCTCTGTAATGAAATAAAAAAGTGAACATGAGTTGCCAGATATAACAAAGGCATTAATGAGCCTCACAGGACTTGCAGAGAAAGCAGTTAGGCGTTTTCGACGTTTTAAAAACAGGTTCAACAGGTTACCTAAAGTAAAGACAACTGCATAGAATAACTGAACAGATGTTGTTAATTAAAAACTCTGCCTCAGTCTGAGTCACTTTTAAATTAGGTTCACTTTAAAAATGTCCTTAATGTTTCTTTGTAAGTCATATTTTGTGGCACTAAATGATGCTTCTTTGTGACCCCTTCCTGTCATGAAAGCTGCCGTACAGATATAATATTCAAATACACAGTAAGATACATGCAACCTACCACAAACACGTCCTCGAATATATGTTGATGTATGTGTTTCTTATGTAATGTGTCATGCCTTATCTGTGTTTCTGTGACCGTGTGTGTGTGTGTGTGTGTGTGTGTGTGTGTGTGTGTGTGTGTTTGTGTGTGTCAGAGACAGATGGGTTCAGGCATGCTGTCGTTAATCTGCAGCAGCCTCACTTTTTCCTAATCGGCTCTGATTCCTGCTGAATCAGCACCACTGCCTCCCCTCCTCTCTGATTAGGTTAGATGGGGCTTACAGCATTTATTTGCCCCTCTGAACAACACGGCTGCACCTCGCACTCAGATGAGTAAAGCAATGCAGTATCACTAACACCCAGTAGAGGGCAGACTTGCCTCGTTAAACTAAGGGAAAATACTTGAGGTGACGTTAAATAGTTTCAAAATTATATTAAGATTATTATCTGGCTTTTTTAAACTGAATTAAAAGACACCTTAAAAAAAGAGGATAATAAATGCACCAATTCCATACACACCATGTCTTTTTCTGCTTTTAAAGAGTTCTAGTCACATCTTATTTTATGTTTTGATTGACTTCATCTACATATCAAAATAACTAATGGTGATTTCAATGACCTTTTATCCAACTATCTTCTGGCTCATGTGGCGCTCTGTAGTCTGTCCTGTACTTGCTTTGATATTGACTTGATATGATTGTAAAGGTGGTTTGCCCTTCAATGAGCTCTGGAGTATACATAAAGGTTTATTAATTGACTGATTGAATCCAGGAGATGCTCAACAGACAGTTAAGTTCCAATTCCTGACATTTGAGAAATTAGAGACTATTACAGACTTAGCTTACTAAGGCATTCAAGGCAAGTTGGTCAACATTTTTTGCAAATCTGAATCATCCTCATAATGTAGTCTTGTTAACTGCTCTCCCCTCCAGCACACTGGTGTGTACCCACTTGTATCAAAGAGTATGAGGCGCATCACGGAGGGCAAAGACCCGGTGGACTGGCACATCCACACATGTGGTATGGCCAACATGTTCGCCTACCACAGCCTCGGCTACGATGACCTGGACGAGCTGATGAAGGAACCGAAGCCTCTCTACTTTGTCCTGGAGCTGCTCAGGGTGAGACAGAACAGACATGACCACATGAGTCTGTGTGATCTATGAATCAACACATGTATATTTCAGTTTGGTGTTATACAATAGTGTAATTTAGTGCACCAGCATAGTTCAATGCTATATTAAAAGTGTTTTAAGTCAACTCAGCAAATGACTCACATAGGTGTGTGACTGACAGGTGCAGCAGCCCAGTGAGTACAACAGGGAGTCGTGGGCTCTGAGTGATGAGGAGAGGCTGAAGGTGGTGCCTGTGCTGCACGGACAGGGGAACAAACTCTACAAACAAGGACACTACCAAGAGGCCACACAAAAGTACAAGGAAGCCATCATCTGCATAAAGAATGTGCAGACCAAGGTCACTATGTCAAATGAGTATTTTAAACAAGTGTTTAGCTGACACACTTCCCAGAAGACCCAGCACACACCCTAACTGAAAAAAAACATTCAATCACTTATATGAAATAATGTACAAAGCTCCAACGTGCAGATCCATGCTCAAAAATAGAGCCCACTGTGTGCATGTATTTTATATTTCTGTGAATGTACTACATATGCAACAGTTACAAAACTGTAATTTTTCAACTGTGATTATTCGTGCATAGTGTGCACTGGTGTTGTTTTCTTTGTATTATTTCTTTGCCTCTGGAAACACCAAAAATGATTTGCTCCTTTCAAAGTCTTAGGAAAGGCTGTGGTGTAAAGGGTGTTGATCATGGACGATCTTCTTTCCTCTGCAGAAGAAAGCATGGGAGGTCCAGTGGCTGAAGCTGGAGAAGATGGCCAACACCTTAACGCTCAACTACTGCCAGTGTCTGCTGCGCATGGAGGAGTACTACGAGGTCATTGAACACACCAGTGACATCATCAATCAGCACCCAGGTTTGCCCCCGTTAACAGTACAAGTGTGGCTCTACAGCAAGGAGACGCTTTTAAAGCCGAGGAATCTCATTCGCTCAGTAAATTATCACGTTTCAGGCGGTTGATATGTGAGTGTGAATCACTGTCATGCTGTGTTAGCATTACAGCCTCACGGCTTATTCACTCTAACATGCTGAGTATGTTTTCACTGAGCATTTTTTATGGTAGCTGTAAATGCATGCTTCATGTGCCTATAAAAGTCTGACCCTAAATAATTGGTGCATGCACAGTCTACACTAGTATGTGTTCATGGATGCACATGTACAGTAAATGTAACACGGTTTCAAAAGGCTCCTGAATGATTCACATCATGATGATTGTGCTGCTGTCAGATATGGAAGTGTATTTGTTTCCAGGTGTAGTGAAGGCCTTCTACCTGCGAGGTAAGGCCCACCTGGAGGTGTGGAATGAAGCGGAGGCCCAGCAGGACTTCAGCAGGGTGCTGGACCTCGACCCCAGCATGAAGAAGGCCGTGAAGAAGAATCTGGCTGTGCTGACCATGCGCATGGAGGAGAAGAACCAGGAGGACAGGGACACGTACAAGGGCATGTTTTAAATTGAAGACACTAATGTAGAGTTTTGACAATCAGGAGTGACGGGCAACCAAAGAGTTAAGTTATTAAATCAACGACTTGAACAGAAGATGCTCCCAGAAGTGTAGAATAATAATAATATATTAGACTTTTATAGTGCTTTTCTAAATACTCAAAGGCACTTAACAAAGAATACGAAACAAAACAAAACGACGGAAAACAATATAAAAAAGAAATAATGTAAAAGAAGGAGGGTAAGCAATGTAAAAGATAAGAGAGGTTGTTGTTGTTTTCCCAATCAGGAAGTAACACAATCCCGCCTTCTCCATAATTAGCTGTATTTATTCGATCTATGATAGTAAAAATTGACCTCATTTATCCTATTTTAATTGTTTACATTCCATTGTTTTGTTCAAGTGGTAAACCTGTTGTTTGTCTATAATATATTCTAGTGTGTAGCAAGACTGTGCTTATGGTTAAAGAAAGAGTAAGTACTCAAAAGATCAATTAAGCTCATAGAACGTGACTGGCCTGCATGGAGCATCATGGAGAGCATATGGTGTTGACTAAAATGTGTTTGATGAAACTTTATGAATGACACTGTTCATGCACAGTCAATGATGTAAATTGACTGAAATAAAAGCAATGCTTGTGTTTGTGTTTTCACTTCAGAAGGCTTTATTGTGTCTCTGTGATGTTTCCGGGCATAAGTAAAAGCTGGTGCATTTGATGCAAGCCTTTCTTTGTTTTTGTTGTCCTCAGATGTTTCTAACCAGTGAAGGGTATTATTGTTGTGCTTTCTGAATGTGGTTTCTTTTAACACACGAAGAAAATGAAAAGGGGAGAGAAGCGATGAAAGATTTATTCTGTTAGGAACTTACTATTTCTGAGATAGTCTCCATTATATGAAAAAGGATAGGGGAGATAATAAAAATTGGAAATGACAGTACTAGACAACTCTTTTGGTGTTGCCATGGGTCACTTGGGGACACATTCGGGGAGAGGGTTCCTCTTTTCTCATTTAGGGCCATATTGTGGGAAAATATCTGTCAGTGATTTGCTTTGCTCGAGACTGAAACATCTCAACATCAGCTGGATTAAAAGATTCCATGAAATTATGTTTTTCTTGTGTTTCTGATGTAAAAGGGACTGAGGAAGAGGCTACAATGTTTATAAACATTTTTAATGACCGTCAGTGTTATGAACAGAAGGTAACTCCTCAAAGTCGTGTAAGCACATTGCCCTTCCACAAGGTAGAGCTCTGACCATAATTATATTTCTGCTGCTCATGAACGACGTTGTAGTAATCATCCAGAGCCCCGAGCAGCACTTTCATTTTCCGGAGAAGTCGAAGGGCTCGTAAAAATAAAATGATCTTTGGTGGCATGTGTCCTTCCTTCATCCTTTTCTACACATCTTTAAGAGACCTTTATTGTGAAAGGTTCGCTATAAAGAATGAGGGACAAAATGCAGCAAAGGGGGAGTTTGGACTTACACATCTGTGGAAAGCACTAAAAAAAAAAACATTTGACTGCTCTTATGTCTGTGTTCTGTCTTAAAATAAGAGACAAATAGTGTGACATCATACTCACAGCTCAGTATCATTCAGGGAATCCCCCCACCATCACTAGCACAGGCCCCAGTGCAGTGCAGCAGCCACTCTGGGAAATGAGACTGACGCTAATGCACCAGTCTAATGATGAGAGAAATCAATAAGTGCAGATCAAAGGGAAAAAAGCCCATGAAGCTTCGTGATTAAACATTAAGGCTGTAGCATCCAGCCCTTTACAAGCACCTTTACTACTGCAGATCTGCTGGGAGTAAACAAGTGGTTTAGGACGAAATTAACAATATATTATTGGTCAATTTTTCTCTTTTTGAATGTGGTCAAACGTTTTTTCTTTTTTAAATCTTGACATCTGAATATGAAAGTGCTGTTTCAAAAACGCAGTTAGAAAGAGTAAACACAGTGGATGTAATGCAAATTCTGCATAGCAGCACAATCCTCGGCTGGCTCTCCTCCATAAACCTCTGGTGCTGGTGTGGAGGAGAGGGGAAGAAAGGGAGGAGGGGGAGGGGGGGGGGGAGAAGGAGGCTACGCGCCAGACTGTCCTGCGCCGGCATGAGGTCCGTCAAGTTAGGCAGATATTATTACCGGAAATACCTGCAGTCGCTATTTCAAAATAAGTGTATTAACGTTCAATTTGTTGGTAGGCTATTTGATCTTTGCTTTGGCAGAAAGGTTGTTTTTTGTATTTTACTTGCTAATATCTAATGAGCATAAATTATGTATGTGATTATTATGATGTATAAATTAAAGTATTTTGTCTGGTTTTACCTTGCTGCTTTTATTTTCTTCCCTTATTGCTATCCTGGAGAATTAGTGCTTCTTAACTTATCTTGCTTATAAATGTAATCTTCCTTGTATTGAAGAGGAGAGTGCAATGTTACAGGGAAGAGGCTATATAAGTTGTCCACGTAACTTTCAGCCCATTTTGAACATGTAACCCTGTGTTGGTATAGACTGCCTTGATTTTCTTTGTCTCATTTGTTCCTTGATTTAAAAAAAATAAAACATTTTACAACTATTATTGCAGCTTTGGGTGGCACTGTTATCCACAACAAATTCCACTCAATGGGACAATAAAGTTTATCCAGAATACAAACAGATTTTGTTGTGAAAAAAATATTTTAATACATTTTATGGACTAAATGTTCCTGGTAAATATATCAGGGCTGTGGCCCTGTGACAGCAAATGTACTAAGATGAGCTTAAAGAGGGCTACATCAGGTTAAATAAATTGAAGCCTTAGCTTCACTTACAACTAATATAAAAGCTCTAATTTTTACTTTCGTCACCGGAAGTGCTCTGTTCTAATCTGGGTAACTTGACACTGGTCCAAAGTTGAGTGGTTGAGTACTGTCTGTGTGCTGCTGCAGCGTGAAAACAGAAGAAGAGAAGGGGAGGAGAAAGTGGCTCATTAGATGCTCTGCTGTAAGGGAGACGTTTCACTTCATCCTTCTTTATATTGAGGAAAGGGAGGAGAAGCGTTCAGACTATTCTTCATTTACAGACAGATTGAAAGGGAAAGTGGTTTCGAGTCTTGGATGAAGACAGGAGCTCCTCAAACTGAATCGAGTGTACCTGGATGTATCAGAGCAGAGGGGAGGCTTTCTGATCACAGCCACTCTTTGGATATGACAGATGAAGAAGGAAATTAATTCAAGAAGAAGAATGATTATTAGAGGAAGCACACTGCTTACACAATTTAGCCTTTTCTTTTAGAGTTTTAAACTACTACGCTTTAAAAATTATCTTGTTTTCTTCCTCCACCACACCTCGTCTGGAGACTCAGATCATAAATCAAACTTCACCACATCTCAACAGAATAGTTTTGAAAGTTTAATTCGGCTGTATTATGGGATATCACGTTCTCATAGCATTTGATCTATTTTAAATAATTACAAAAAAAAAAAAAAAAATTGCTATTTGCTGATATAGGTTGTTAAATCTGGAACTTTAACATGGCCATCAACACGGACACCGACTTCCTGAAATCTAACCTGGGTGAGGGTGGTGGTGGTGGAGGAGGAACCCAGCCTGCAGACTCCCACGAGACGGAGAAGCTCCTCGCGCTGACCACAGAGCCCGGTGGGAACGGGATGAAGATGTCCACTTCCTTCACCGTCAACATGGACACCGACCGGGGCCTGGAGGCCGACCAGAACGGCCACAGCATGGCGTTGAGGTCAGGCTCCGCCGGGCAGCTGGCCGCCTCCGGCCCCTTGTCCCCCTCCAAGGCCAGCCTGAGCCGCTCCTCCACCGGGAACGCCACCGTGCAGGAGACCCCCAAACCCAAGGATTACCTCATCCTCGTCATCCTGTCCTGCTTCTTCCCCGTGTGGCCCGTCAGCATCGTGGCACTGGTCTACTCCATCATGGTGAGTGTCACTTATTTGTTGAAGTCTCCTTGTAAACAAACTGAAGAGTGAAAAGGGGAAAATCATGGAGCAAAAGGTGGAGCAGGAGAAAATGGAACAGTCAAAATGATTGGCAATAAGAAAACTAAACCTGGTGGTGATCTGTGAACATGTTCATCTCAGTGCTGGATGCTCTGGTGTCTGACAAAGAAATAAGAAGCTTTGGAAATTGACTGTGTTTTGTAAAAATAAAGAAATATCATGTCATACTTTTGATGGAGATGAAGCCTGTGAGAACATGTCAGACTTTAAGGCTGCATACAACCTGCTTCAGAAATCTCCAGTGAGGATGGAGAACAATACAACAATATGCTTTTAAAAACGATTTGTTTATCTCTGAAGTGATCTTTCATGGATTATTATACCCTATAGTAAATGTGAAGTCCATAGCGTGCGACATTTGAATGTGATATTTGAAAATATCGATGGTGACATTTCATAGAAAGATTCCTAAAACGATGGCCATCCAAGTACTTGAAATGTGGACATCCATCCTTTATGAATATTTTCATTCTAAACAATTACATATTTTTACATTTCGAAAATAAGAATTGGAAAAATATATAAAATATGTCAAATTGCACATTGCATAAACTAAATTGTCTGGCTGACAGTCAAAATTCAAGACTGATCTACAGGTTTTAAAAAAGCCAAAAAGCAGAAAATCTCCACCTTTTAAAAGACAGTTGAGACAAATAAAATTGGTGTTTTTATTTGATCAGTTGTCAAATTAGCCACTCATTGATCTTTTTGCATTTCATTATTAAAGTAGCCTTTCAGAAATGAGACTTTTCTTGGTCTGCTTGTGTGGATATGGATATTGATTTAGATCAATATCAGTGCCTGAAGCTGCATCAGTTTCAAATATAAAAATCACATGTCATTTTGGGGGGGGCTTTAAAGGTTTATTTGGGGGCTTTTTACAAGAGAGAGGGGAGAATGATATGCGGGAAAGGACCCTATGTCAGATTACAACCCAGACTGCCCGCCTGGAGGACCACAGTCTCTGTACATTGGGCGCGTGCACTAACCACTGCATTTCTGTCAGCCGGGGGGGGGGGCTACATTTATTTAAACACAGAAAGAGAGAAAATGTAACCTGGCAGAGAGGTTATTGAAGGCTGCGTGTTAATATCACTGACATGAAGAGGTGATATTAAGAGCCTGTTTAAAAACAAAAACATGGTGTGTGTGATTTGAGGAAAACTATGAATATTAGTTTAGTCATAATTATTCTTTTGAACACACAGTCCTTGTTCACATGCTGAGTGTGAATGCACGTGGCTTGTGTAAATAAAATAGCGTCCCTGACAATGTGTTTATTGTGCCTGTTTATATTGCAGTGACGCATTTGAATGTATTGTGCATCCCTGGTGATAAAGTTGACAATAAAGTTGACAGTATGTTATTGCAAACTTAAATATAGCAGGATTTAGTTGCTGGCTACATGTATGTTATCGATGGTAACCCCCGCTTCAGTTT